TAAACAATTGTCGGCGATCGACCCACTTCACGCGAAGAATCAGCGTCCTTCCTCGCGCCTGTCGAACAACAAGCGCCACTGTTCACCACACGAAGCAAGAAAAAAAGAAAAGAAGAAGGACGAGAGCCGCACTCCGGGATATATGATGCGCGATCGTTTCGATCAAGATCGAACGTCGTCTTATATGGAGAGACGTTTCTGCGGCAGGAGTAAGAACGCTGTCGACGATCACGTGCACACACGGGAGTAAGCCCACCCGATTTGTTTATTCGGGATACATCGACATCCAGGAACAATCCTGTCGTAATTGCTGAGGCTGTCCGATCGACATCTCCGGTTCGTCGAATGAAACGACCGGTAAACCGAACAATCCGCGGCAACAGTGTCAATTGTGGGTGTGATTGTCGTCTGAACTGATAAAATGTCAGCAATTGCCACTGATAAAAATTCAAGTGACGTTCCGTGTATCTGATTTTACGTACGAAAATGAAATGCCATCGATCGTGGGGCAGGTGACTCAATTAAAATTCAGTACCGATACTTCATATCTTTTCTTATAGAATTATTATAGTGCAGAGAAATACGATAATTTCTACGAATACCATATGTATTACTCATATTTACGCTTAAGTAATCATTTTCCTTATTTTGTTACACTTATTTCCTTATTTTTTTATCCATTTTTAAAGATATGTACAGTTATTTCTGTTTCTAAATAGTGACACACCTGGTATCTAAAATTTGCTACCATTTCTTGATCCATCGGAACGTGACCTTCGGTAGCGAATATTTTTCAGAACATCGTTATAGATCGATCGAAATTGAACATCGTGATGCGACTACAGGAGCGTCGGCCAGGTGAAAGTCAACGACACGTCCGGAGCGTATGACTTTGTTCAGAAACGCGTCCAGCACAGGAACGAGCGGAGCACATCTCGAATCTAATTATCGAGGAACGCTTTGTGCGTATAGGAAGCCGAACAACCGTTCGCGGGCTTAACGACTCCGCCGCAAGAAAGGAATCGGCCGCCGTCGAAGGAGGTTCGTCGAGAGGAACGTTGCTGTTGGCATTGCTACCTCGAGCCGACTATATTTTTCTCTAGTAAATTACACCGCGGCTTTTTTTCTCTCGGAAATTTAAGGCGAGCCTTCTACGCATTTTATTAAAACGAGCGAATAGGGAAAGGAAAGAAGTATTTCTTCTTCCTTTTGCGCTTTCACGTATTAAGAGTAGAGTTTCTTAAATTATTTTTATAATACAGATAGAAATTAAATTTTATAAAAATAATTGCAGTGAACACTATATAGAATTATAAGATTCTGCATGCATGAATGATGATCGAATATTCCACACCAACTCAATTACAAATGTTACCCAGCTGGGAATCAAGCATAAGTTTCCAGTCCTGTCGTCCACGACATATGTTTCTGTCCCGTGCACGCTCATTAATCTACGCCTTTGTGTTCCAGAATCAAGAGGATAACAAGATAGAAACGAGCCGTGTTTCCGCAAAATTTCGGTCACCGATGTCGTTGACCTCCTTAAAGACACTAAGCAACTGACCGCCACGAAGAAAGTTACAAGAAAGTGATGGGAAACTTTAGACAGAACCGCTCACGTGGGTAGTGCTGTCATTAGAGGGTCAGGAACTTTCTTAAAATGTTCGATATTAACTGACGCTCGTTCAAATCACGAACGTGTGAATCTGTCCGCGTGAATTCCGCAATGACACTCTGGTCTGGCCTCCTTCTAACGAGCGGAAGACACTTCTCTTTCTAGTACTCTAAACGAAAAAATAACGAAATTCAGTTTCAGAACGTAACGAATAACAACAAGTCAACATATAAGATTCGTTTTTGCCTAAATAGGTGGAAACAAGAACATGGACGTAGCCAGCGGGAACAGAGGGAGGGGACAAGTGCCCGCCCCCTACTTAGAAGGGAAAAAATGGACTTTCCCCTATGTTAGATGAGAAAAAATTGAATTGTGCCATCCCTCTCCCCTCAGACGAGCAAAATAATATAAAATTTACCTTAAGATACATTTTGTACCCCTCCTGTCCCCTTCGGCCATGAATAGGAAGCTCAACTTCCAAGTTCGATCGAACGACGATTACATCACGATCAACTTCACCACCACGTGACCGCTAAATTCCAGCTTCTGATGCGGTCAGGATCAGAGGACGTGTTTCGTGGCAACGACACGATTGCATCACGTATATGTACGGTCCACGTGGGTTTCCGCCTGAAACGGAGTTGTCACGTGTGTCGCGCGTACGTGCGGATCGTGTTGAGCCGCGGCTGTCTCTGTCGACGAGCACGTGGGATACGTACGACAATGTGATTACACGTTTAATTAGCATAATAGAATGAGCCCTGGCGAATAACGCTGATCTGCCTGGTCAATAATTTATAATTCTTGTAAACTGGTAAATTTAACGAAGAAATACTTCTATTATTCTAATCTGAATTAGAATATTAGATTCCTCTTTCGTTTCGATTATTTATGGAATATTTTCCGAAAATGGGATTTCATATAAACGTCTACAGACTGATTGTAGAAAATAGGACTGCTTCGAATTGAAAAGGAACGAACAAGGAATCGAAGGAGAAAATCTTGTTTCATACATATCGAATCATCTCGACGAACTGAATTCCACGATCGCCCGAAGGCCTTGTTGAACCTAACGCGCGTGAGGACGCCTCTGGACGCCCGTCTCGTTTCGACGAGGCACGTTTTCAAACAGTCATAACGCACGGACGATGATTCGCACACGGGAACTTTCTACGTAGCCTGTCTGAAACGGTACCCGATTCACGGTCGACGCGATATTAACGCTTAATGACTGTGGATCGCGATGAGAGGAACGTGTGGAAACACGACTGAAACTCCGAGGATACGGGTTAAAAGGCAAATATCGTTCTAGCTGATTCTAATTAGAGGATCCAGATGCTTCGGATTAACGTGAAACTTTGAGAGATGTTGCGCTATCTGCGGTTCTATGCGTAACTCGGTGATGACGGTGTCTGACAAACATATCTCGAGTCACTATCGAAAAACCACGTTGAACTTCCCTGCGATTGGAATCACTATAACGAAAACCATTCGCTGATTCGCGCCCATATCAATCTCCCGTCTCGTCATCGAGTTACAATCGACCCCCGGGGACCGACGATTTATTGCGAATTCACGGGACGTCGATTGCGAGTATTAACGTTTTCTTTTTTTTTTCCTCTTCGAGGACCTGTTCCTCGTCCCTCGGACGTGGCTCTAACCCTCCTGTCGGGAGGATCTCGCGAGCGCGCGGAAGTGCGAAACCCGATCCTCCTTCCGTGATCCGGGACCAAACGATTCCCACAACACGTCGTGGCGAATGGCCGTCGCGGACCGTTTATCGACACCGGGACACGTCCTATTATCGATTATCCTCGGCCATGTGTAAAGTCCTTCCCTCCCGCCCCTTCAGCGAGGACCATTATGGGAACGCAACGGCGGCATGGATGGCCGACGGAGGCCGAATCGAGGCACGGCTAATCGCGTTCGTGATTTCCATACGCCTAATACGGCGGTGGAGCATTAACGCGGGCTCCGTTTCAAGCGTTCCGCCGTGAACCGTGGACGTTCGTGATAAAAGAAACCTGAGGTAGATCGTAGCACGGGACGACATGCTCGATGACTCCCCGTAAACGAGGCCGAACATCGGCTCGAGGTCGCCAGGGATGCCAGAAACGAGGTTACCACGCTGGAAAAGCCTGCGATCCAGAGGAGAGGGAACAAACGAGAAGCGTCTCGATCGATCTGGCCACGGGGCACCCGATCACCAGGGTACCGATCAAGCGTGCGATTTTTCGAAGTGAAAGTCCGAACCGTACCGACGGGAATAAGGAGCCCTTTGTCTATTCGCTTTGAGGGCAGCCGCGCTCGGTTCTGGCGTAGAAGGGATGTGTCCCGAAAATGGAGCACCCTCGTCAACTGTGTTGTGCAAGCGATGCAGATGAAAGCTACAGATTCTCCCGCCACGAGGATCGAACGTGGAAATGATGTGCTAATTCACTGGACGGATTTTATTAATGCGGTTATGTAAACCTTTCGGTGAACCGTGGGTACGGTGATGAATATATTTGTAATTGGATGACGAATCTTCTTTGGGGAAGTAGTAATTGTACAATCAGGGTGATTGGTATAACGTAATTAGCCGTTTACGGGCCGAATCGGAGTTTGATATTGGAAATGAAATTCTAGTTATCCTAAGTTTGAGTAACTTTGACTCATTCAGGGGTTACTTTGTCCCAAAGTCAGAAAATAATCATTTTGCAACTCTTTTGCAGGTATTTTTACGTGAAATATCATTACGCGTAAAAATCAACTTAAATTAACAATTTGCGGAGCTGCAACGTCGAAGATGATTATTTTTTCTTAAATTCTCAACAATCCATAGAAACTCTATCAGATACAGGGGGCTTATTCACTCGGTCACTAATTGTTGGACACGCTGTATTATTAAATACTTGCTAACCTAGTAGCTAGTATAGATACTACGATTTCAAAATCATGTTAAATCACTTCTAATTCAAGTTAACATAATAGATGGAACATACAGGACACAATTTACCAAGTGTCTCCCCACGGACCCGTGTGATTCGAGGCAAATGCACTCTCCGAAAAGATGGCCCGACCGAAATCATCGTCCAGCTCCTCGAAATAAACTAAGGAGGACACCACGATCCCGGGCCGCCACATAAAATGACCTTATCTCCTTAAAAGCTGCCCAAGTGAAACGGTCCCGACACGAGGCAGCCACGCAAACGTGCTAAAAGATAACATAATCCGGTCGCCTCGTGATCGCGGCGAATATAGCGCCCCCAAGACGATCGTCCAGCTGGATAACACGAATGTGCCCACTTCTGGTTCGGTAGCCCGGTCCACCCCAAGGGACGCGTAAAAAGTAAATCGAACGACCAAGCGGTAATGATTCCCTCAGGTGGGGTGAAGAACTTACCTCGTGCGCCTGGTCCTCGATGCTTCTAAGAACCGCGAGATTCCGTATGGTCGCACGTCGCGACTCGAACGAGGATTCGAGCCTGGTGGCGGCGTTCCCGACCTCCTCCACCAATCTACGTGCCCGTTTCACCGACAATCTGGAAAGATAAAAAGGAACCGTGATCGCGGCGGGTGGACCGTTAGGAATTCTTGTAGCCTCCTCTTATCGGCTACGAAACATCGGACCCTAACTCCACGAGAGTCCTCCCGTTCCCCTCTGGGAGAGCATAGAGGCACGAGTGGGCGCGCTGACTAACACGCCGCCGGACGTTATCTTCGCATTAAAATGTCCTTAGCCTAGCTATGCGCGCGCGGCAAGAATCCACCGGAGAAGAAATATGTATATAAGTATAGTACATCGTTGGTAACGTTACAAACACGCGTGTTCATCCGAGACGTCGTCGAGTCACCTATACATGGTGTGTGACTCGGTCCACGAGCGGTCACGAAAACCAACGAGTCGGCAAAGTCGCCTTTGAACGGTGTCCCTTTTCTTTTCTCGTACCATCTCGACGCTGAGCGCGACAGAAATTAATAGACGGAGTCGCTATTTTATCGACCGGCCGGGAAGAGAGATCGCCGGACGCGCGACTTCGCGATAATTAAAGCTGAACCCCAGGGGGGAACGTAAAGTCACGAGATAGGGAATGGGATGACAATAAGTTCGAGTAACGTATCGACCGGGGTATACGCGAAATTTCTAGCTGGCGAGAGTTACTTGGAGAATCGGCGGTCTAACCTAACGTGCTCGAGGTGCAAAAGCGGCGATGCTCGTTCCTCCAACGCGGCGATCGCCTCTTCTCCGTCTCTGGACGTTCTTCGTAATGTGGGGTCCGTGAGCAATCGGCCGAGGGGCGTCAACGTGCCCGACAGGCTGCTGCATTCCTTCAGCTCGGACATCTCCAACGCCAGCCTGCGACCGGCTGCCTGCCATTCTGTCATCAGGCCGTCGTATTCCTGTGGACCAAGTTGAATATCGGTGTTATGTTAAAGACGTCACTGTTTCGGTTTCATTGATGTGATCTGGACTTTGACCCGTCACCACAGTGACGGTCACCGGTGACAGACACTGTGTGTACATGCCTTGTCGATCACTGGTGACCGTCATTTAATTGTACGACAATCTCATTGACGTGAACAGGAAGTCAAGTGGAACATATTTGGCGACGAATATTGGTCAGGGTACAAGGTCGACATGTAGGTTAGGCTCAAGGTTATTATTGTTCCTCAGTAGATAGATGAAAGGAAATCGTCTGAGATTGTAGAGAAGAATAGGTGTTGAGGTACTCTTTTTTTTTTTCTGTTATAATCATTTGTGGCTACACCTGACAAGCATACATTTGCGTGGAAGAGGTGTGTCCACTTTCTGCAGTAACAGACCGATACGTTCATCGTGGCGATGAAATTCATCAATCATAGCAGTGAGACAACATTAGCATTGAATACTGTACTACTGTGATCAAAAAGTAAGGTGAAATTGTCATTTAAAACTCCCGGGCATTAGGAAGGCAGGTAAATTTTTTTTCCTACGTTGGTAGGACTGTCTATGACATTTGCCAAGCGTCTCTTTGTCAAAAGGTTTAATTATCTCCGAGTTACAGGTGTGAATTATGGGCGAACAACTCTTGGTTCCTTCATCACGATAATGCACCATGTCATACTGCATTGGTTCTGCGCGACTTTTTTGCCAAAAACTCGACTCATATCGTTCCGCAACCACCGTATTCGCCTGATTTGGCTCCGTGCGACTTCTGGCTATTCAGCAAACTCAAAAGGCCAATGCGGGGACGCCGTTTTGACACGATTGAGGAGATAAAAACCGAATCGAAGAAGGTCTTGAAGGCTATACCGGAAAAAGACTATTCCGACTGTTTCGAGGACTGGAAAAAGCGTTGGGAAAAGTGCGTTTTATCGGACGGGGATTACTTTGAAGGGGATGAAATTGATTTGGAAGAATAAATAAAGAATTTACATTTTATAAACAAATTCACCTTACTTTTTGATCACAGTAGTATGTTGTTTCGTATTCAATCATACTCGATCATCAGAGTGTGAAGACTTTTAATGTTTCTTGAAATTGTGATTAAATACAGAATATATAATATATTTCACTGGACAGAGTAAAGGAGTTTCGAAAGATGAAGAATTTAATTGCTGGGTAAATAGACAGACTTAGGTTTCTGAACTACAGTGAACAGTATCGAGACGTATATGCAGAATGCAGGACAGACACACCTAACTACCAGTTCGTTTGATCGGCGTATTATGGTGCATTCTCGATCGATCGAAATTCCAATCAGATGGAATCATCGGGGGGAATATATAAATACTACTTCTCTGATTAATTCGCGTTGGCTGTCAACGGTTCGACTTTTTGCAGACCCATAAAGCCCCGTGTGAAACGTGAAATGTTACATATGTATCTGTAGATAGTACCATTCCAGCCTTCTGGGAGCAAACATTCTAAAGGATATTTTTCACATTGCTCATACATTCATTCACACGATATTGCCATAGGTTCTAAACCAACATATATAATGGGAAACCTATCTGAAGGTGACATTTTTCAGTAATCGATGGATCGACTTGTAGTCAATTCAACTTGAAAGTACAATGATGACTTTAGGCGACTCAAATCTCAAGAAACCTAGCCTTGAAATGTCTGCGGCTCTGAACCAAAACAAAGAGTAAACTCTATATTCTTCTAAAAAAACACTGCTACATAACTGTTGTTATTTCGTCTAAACACACCAATGATCATTTTCAATTGGAGCATGAAACTCAAAAAGAAACGAACGACTTTTTTCGATTTGTCTAGTTGTAGATAAGGGGTGCTTAAGAGCGCACATGCAACCAATCGACTGACGTCTCAATTTCGCGAAATCATCCAGAAGATTGATCGATCGTTGGATCGGCCATCGCCAGAGGCCTACCATTCGCAGAGTTGCCTTGGTATCGCTGTCGTAAAGTGGTTCGAGGGTCGCGATAGCTCAAACTCGAGACGATGAACGACCATCTTTCATAACTCGTCGACCCAGCGTATTTCTAGACCATGAAGTTCTGGTGGTCCAGTAACTGCTTCTAAGGGGGCCTAACGGGCCTGATAATATATCATCGGGAGCAATTAGAAAAATCAATTATGTCTGCCGGGGTAGGATGAAGAATTAGCAGTCGGGATCATTTGTTACATGGTTTCAGGGGCACTGTTCGTTAAGTTACCTGATACTTCTTTCTATGGAACTGATTTCTAGGTTTCATCTGATAGGAAATTTTTATTGCAGAAAGCAGTATGTCAACTTTTTTTCCATTTTTGATACCTATTCCCAACGGGATTTTAATAAAATTTTGTGGAGTGTATACTACATAATCCATTTTACTCTTGAAGTGCTTCCAAAATGTAATTAAACTGTGATTTTTTCGAGGATAAGTAATGAACATTATCGATATCAAATTTCAACGAGCATTCGATATATGCCTATGGCATTTAATCTTCAACAATTCGACATGAATCGCTACATTGCAGTCATTTAATGGGTCTTTTTCCTCATATCGTCACAATCGCCTATCTATTCCGAAAGTTTCGCTTTTGATCACACCCACACGTCAAGCGACACATCTTTTTGGCGAACAATTCCCGAAACGCTCGTCTAATTGCCGCCAAAGCAGTCCTTTCCTCCCCCTAACGACGTTTTAATAACGACCGACGCGCGGCAAACAATTTGCCAGCCGAGAAAGTTTCGAAATTGTCGAGGCCCCGGTACCGTACGACACGCGGCGAGATAAATGCGCGTTATTCGAACACGCATAGTAAATCGTCGTTCCCGGGATACTTCGGTAAAGAAGGTAGCCGAGTGGCGTCTGTGGGAGTCCTTACTTTCTGCCGAAGAATTTCATGCGCGCCGAAGCAACCGCGATGCACTATGTTAATGGCTATCTCGGCGAGCATCGGTACCGACCGCAATTTATAAACATTTTCCAACCCAGGGAACAGTACAATTTTCTCCTTCTAACGCTTTCCGTGTCGACAAGGTCGCGACTAAAACTGTTGCCAAGCCGTTCAGCCCTCTAGAGAAATAGTCTATTTAAAAATTGAAGTAAACGAGAAGATCTGACTAGGACGATGGGAAATTTCGATTAGGTTTGGGTTTGATAGAAGTAATCGAATATGCAATTTATACTCGAATAGCAAACCGAAGAGTCTAGAACGACACTTGTAACTACTTCTTGAGTACTGCACATAGGAAACGTTTTATTACAATACTACAGCCTAATCAACTATTATTCTCTCTTTATTCTCATCTGCCTAGAATTAGTACATTGCTTAACTGTTCTGTCGAACAGATGACGGAGAAAAGATCTCAGATAAAGTATCGAAGTTGTACATCAAAAGGACCCGATCCTTTCATCTTCAAAACTGGTCCCACAATCTCAACTCTTGTCTCCACTCCCCATCTAATCATCCATTTAATCAAACCCGTATAAAACATCAACTACTTCGATGTTCGATATCTATTCAAAAAAAAAAAAAATAGAACAAATAATTTACGATAGGAGGTTCAAAGTAGACGATCGACTCTGATAGGCGCAATTCCACCGGACGTGGACGTCGAATGGAGATTACGAGTAGTGTAACGAATCGCGATCGCGATACCGGGCGTAGAGCCTTTTCTTTCTTAACGGGACCCCATTAAAACCCCATTACGGCGTCCCCTGTGGGTTGAGAACCCCTGGATAAATTGGTAACATCGGTCAGTGCCCACCGTCGCGGTATAAATTCCACCTACGATAATTGCGCCGTGATTCTCGAGAGGGGCGTGGAGCCGAGCGGAGGGGAGGGCCCGGTACAATTATTTCGACGGCGCCCTGTGGACTTCATGTTCGTTTTTTCATTCGAAAACCCGCCGAATCACCGTCCTGACATTCGGTCAACCGGAGGGGAGATTCCTCGCCGTTTTTTTCTTGCCCGTGACGATGTCGAGGCGATCGTTTTCGGTGGCAATTTGTCGCGACTTTCGATTGTCACTGTGACGCTCGGCGATCGGCGGGACTGCTCGCTCGTTAGAGACGAGGCATGCAGAATTGCACTTGAAATACCTTTCAGATTGGTTGCGTCACTGCGTCAAGTAGTGGAGGAAACTCAGAGGGAGCGTGCAGATGTTGAGATTGAATAAGGCAGTATATACGATGGTGAGTTTTTTTCTTTTGGATAAAATGGGCGGGGAAAATATTCGAATCTTAAGGGTGCATACGTAAACCACTTCCGTTTGAAGAAATCTGTGGAATACTGGTAATGTTGATGGATGATCGATGTAATGGAAAAGTGTATTTGAAACCGAGAATGCTGAGTCACATTTTAAGGGTAAAAAGTACCCTCTTCTAGTCAATGTAAAATTCATGATGCCTAATTTGTTATTCATGAAATTGTGAATATATATGTAGACACTGTTGCTTATTCGAGTGTTCAAACTGAAAAACAAACATAGATAATATATACGATATTTTCTTGATTAATTTATTTTTATCAAATTACTATCGTCTAACTATATAGATAAATAAAGGTGAATGTACAGTACTCTAATGTGAGGTCATAAAGTATAGAATTATAGGAGCATGAAAAGTTTCTTAATGAGGACGTCCGAAAGAAGTAGAAGTAAAAAATCCAAACAGTCAGAACGATCAATCACTTCACAATCAATACATCAGAAAAGAACAAAGATCAACAATCCATCCACAGTGTCCTTCACATCACAAAAAAAACTCTCAAACACCATCAACGGGATGAAACTTCAGAGTCCACTATAGCATATCCTTTCACCTTTTATCCACTATTAAAATACAAAAATTCCTTAAAAATCCCAACAAGGAAACACATGTAAAACAAGATAATTCTAAAGCTTTCATTCCACAGACTCTTGCTGTCCACCGACATTTTCCTTAGTGTCGTGGCTCGAAAGTTAACGTAAACTCGAGTAGCATCGTCGAGAGGAGACGTCCGCTCAAGGACCTTCACCTTCGGAGGGGACCAAGAAAGGATTAAAAACCGCGGATTTACATCCGCGTGGAGTGGAGCCTGGAGGGACAAATACCGATTCAAGGGAGCGAACACCAATGTGGGGTACCAAGAGGGCGCAGGAAACACTCGAGGAGCCAGGATGCAAATGCAGGAACGATGGTGGGGTTTCAATTACCTTATAGAACGCGATCCACTGCGGCTGCTCGTGGTTTTCTTCCCGCCTGGGAATGTGTTTGCTCAAAGCGTCGTCGTCCAGGACTGTCGTCTGAAAGCAGAATTGAAAACGCCTTTAACGCCGTGTAAACAGCCGTCGCGATACGGTACTCGATGTTTCTATAGACCGCGCGATTCGAAGGTCGCCCGAGTGTTATCAAAGGAAATCGTTTCTCTCTCGTTTCTTCTTCGCATCGAATATCTAGCGATCGAATGAAATGTAAAGAAAACTGAACGGCTGGCTCTCTTGAGAAACGTTGAATCGTGTTCCTGGGGCGCGGTTCGAAGCTGAATTCGTACGACAATAATCGCGACTCGTGATAGAAGGGGGAGAGAGACTCTTGTTACCATTCGATCGAAGGCGGTATATACACACTGCTTGTAAGGATTTAATTATTTATCGCTCACCTTGACGTGGCTCAAAGGTAACTGAGAGTCTGTTGGACCTTCGGCGACAGAGGTTTGCAGTAACAATGCTTGGGAAACGTTCACTCGGTCCTGCAACAAAGGTTGTTATTGTTTACAGTGCTCTGTACGGGATCGATAGGTATGAATGGTCCCATGGGTAGTGGGGGAATGCGTACGCAGGTATAGAGTCGAAAGAAGGTATTAGACAACTGAAACGATCGGTTACCTGCAGTAGGGCCAGGACCTTGTCCAGAAACTCAAGACACTCCGGTGAACCGCTACGGACCAACAGAGCGAATCCATTCTTCGAGTGGTCGGAGCTGAAACCAAAGGGTGAAGAACTGGTGAGTTCAGGTGACGTGGTATTATTTCTGACAGTTGGTGAAACGTTTCGCGCCCCGGGTCCAACGGATAAATTATCGAAGCATTCCGTGCATATACACGTGAGTCACCGTGATACGGTAGTCCCCGAGACGGTTGACAAGATCTCCCACGTGAGAAGCGGCGTGTCGCCGCGATTTCTCCTCCGAGTCATGCCCCGAGTGAAACGAGGCGTTCGCTCCTGTCGACACGTTCGCGGACCGATTATGCACGCTCGGGGGACGCGCGCCATGGCCTTAAGGGCGCCGAATCGGCGCGATCTAACCTTCGCCGGGAGATAATTGAACCCGGTGCCACGATTTTTGTGAAACGTTTCTTTGTTTAGAGCAATGATTAGACTGCGGAAGTTTATGCAAATTCACAGTTTCAGATATTAATATCTAGAAATTAAAATGGAGCAGAATTTTGAATTCTTTGTTAGAGGCTTTACTGCGTTAATAGTAACACATAATAACATTAAATTTCATTGAAGCCTTTGCGAATGCTAATAATGCATACACATCCACAGTCGAGTAATGACGATTGAACGTTGATTTGGTTGAGGAAGTATCGTATAATGAATAATCTAAGATAACTCTTAGTTTATTATTTAGTGAATTCTTTAGGGGGAGAAATAATTTTCTACTTAATTCCAGTTTCAAGAAATTACTACGATGGAAGTAATATTGAGATGAATAATTACAATCTGGTGATCATTATGGATTGATGAATTTCTAATCTGATTAAAGTGGTTCTGATTAAAATCCACCAGCTTCTTTGAGAGATTCTTTATTTTTGACATTGTCTTCTTTGCATTCCATAGAATCGATTTCTATTTCAATTGTAGTGTAACTGTTTCTTCCAGATTTCTTCGTTTTTGTGTAAACTACTCTTGAAACTTGAATTTTCAAGCTCTACAAAAGCATCATACGCCATATTAGTCAATCGATTCAGTCCTTTTAATTCAAGACATACTACACTTCTTATCAGAGTGCTCTAGCATTTTCTAATCTAGTACTAACATTTCATTCGTCTAGAATCTAGAATCTAAATCTTCAGAATCTACCTACAAGACCAACCATGACAATTCTATGTTAAGGTCCTGGCTTATCCAAGGTCTATCCTTTAATTCTGCGGCCAATAGACTCTGAACGTTTTACACCGGTGACAGAGATCGCAAAGGCGTATTGAATGCAGGAAAATCGTATCACAATTCGCATTCAGTTATGACACGTGGGTGGTTCGCGTAAGTATGCAGCGTTTCTCACGCGGCTCCAGTGGCAGCCTTCTCTCTCGTTCCCTCGATCCCGTTCATACGTACAACAATCATGCTTCCACTTCACAGTGGCGTATCCACTGGTCACAATACCACTCTTTGTACGCGTGCTGCTTGCAACTGCTTCGATCCGCTTCGTGCCTCGAACTGCCTCGTATTTACCTTTCACGTCGCTTTGGTTTGTCAGATGTCAAACGAGGATGCAACCACGATGCGGCTCTTCTCATTTCGGTTTTATTTTTACATTCTGCAGAACGTATATTCAACGGACGACGTTCAGGTGGTTTGCAATTCTTTCGTCGAATAGGTCGATGTTGAAGAATAATTATCATAAAAGTATTCCTATAAATAATTCGAGTCCGAAGAATTTCTAGAGTTTTCTAAAGTATGTTAAAAAATTAACTTTTACATATGTCACGATGAACCTTCAATTTTTTTCAATAGGTCACTTAAGGAACTATCTATTCTGTTCTAAGAATATACATTAGAAGAATAAAATTGGAAGAATATGTATTAGGTACATAATATTAACTAAAATTACTGGAAATCCATTCACCTTTCTATTTGATAACTGCGATTCTGATTATAAAGATTACAAATCACAGTCAGAGACAGCATTACCAATTTGAACGACTGAATGAGCAACTTAATATAGACTAAATGGAAACGAAAGACAATTTTTTATTAAATTTACTGTAAAATCTGTAAAAAATTAATTCCTCATCATCAGGTATCATTGAACGAATGATCCCTCAAAGATTCAAAACTAAAGATAACAATTTCTTCAAAAATTCCTCTTCTGAGACTGGAATGGATAAACAATCCTCAGCGAGGAACATCTCGTTAAAATCCCTCGTGGACAATGCATCGCGAAGTTACCAGAAGTCGGGACCATCTACCGGCGAGTAAAATCGAAGTTCCCTTGTGAGCCCAAAACGATTTCCTCGAACCACGCGCGGTGATCACAGCGTAGAGGGTCGTTCTCTCAATTAACCTCGTTGACTTTTCCCGTATCCGTCGAACGAGCCGCCATAATCCTCTGACACGTGGATTTACAATTCGATCGTAACTGTCGGCGGTTTCGCTACGCCACTGCCCACTCTCGAAGACGAGACTCCATGCATTAGCAGCATTGTAAAGCTAGTAGGTTGCTGGAAGCAGCGCGCGCGTTCGGTATCGCGACGGTTCATCGTGTGTATACCTAAAACCACAGCCGCGACCTGGGTGGGCAAAGGTTGTCGAGCAAAGACCTCGTCACGACTAACCGTTTCCTTAGAACGAACGTCCGCGAGAATGCAGCGTCACCGTCCTCCTTCTGCCTCTTTTCGTCCTCTCACCCTAAATGTTCTGTCGGTGGTGGAACGGTCGTAGGATACACAGCATTGCCTCGTGGCAATCTCGAAGGAAATTTGATTGAGAATTTTGAGGTTTAAAAACTTTGATGATCGAGCAATTTTTTGTTGTACTAATGAAATTACATTTGACAACCGTTCTACAAGTGTTCTAACGTTAATCTTAATATACAAAACCGTCTTAAATACAGTAATAAGACGAAGTTACAAAATTTTATCCCCTCTTCAAGTACTTCCAAGAATATTTCGGATGAGAAACGTATCCGTTGAACGTTCCGCCCGGAAATGTCGTGATCTTCGCTCGTTCTCGAACGAGGCAGCGCTCGTGTAAAACGAAACAAAAAACGAGAAGATCCGGCACTCTTAATAATGTTCTAATAGCGCTAATAGCTGTCTAACGACTGGACGCGCAACAGCTCGTGCGCGACGGTTTAATGGCGTTAATCGGCTTCCGACGAAACACGTCGCTGTGAAAAGAAGAAAAAAAAGTGGAACAGCGATGATGCGGAGTAACGTCATGTACGAATCCACGCGTACTTTTTGCATCGAGGCCCCGTTTAAGAGTTCATCGCGGCGATTAGAAAAGAAGGAACGTGGAACTCGGCTCTCTGTGTGCGTTAGACGGTTACGATTGACGGGACGTCGAAAAATCGGGGAAGGTGCGATGCATCGCGGAGAACTGAGCAAATAATGCCGGAGAAAGGTTGCGCCATAATGGAGGCTGTCAGTGCTCGTGTACGTACTCTACCGCGTTAGAATGCACCACGCCTGATCGGTCTTATTAAAGGTTTGCACTCCCTTCTTCGGCAGCTAATTGATTCAACTTTTCAGCCCGTAATGACATTAGCTACTGTATTTAATGAGAAATTTGATCCCTGTGTACTGTTCAGATAATTATTATGCGAATAAGAAATTTATCCGTAACCAGATTGCACCGTGTATGAACCGGCGTTGTTAAATTAATTTAGCAATTCCTATGACAAATAATACGACTTGAAAGTTAGGCTCTGCCTTTTGAATCCATCTGACCCGAGCAATATACACCAGGGTCAAAATCATAATTCTTTATTATCATTCCCGATGCTGCAATAACTTCCATTTTTTCATTTTACTAACAAGAAAATCTATTTGTTCCTTCTGTATCACTTATCAGATGAACCGTTACAATTAAACGAATTACCCGGTATGCAAGACGCCTCGTTTAACTACACCTTAATTCTAACTTTTCAAGAACAGCATTTTTACGAACATTTGCAGTCCATACACTACAGAAACAATTGCAAAATGCAATTGCACATTTCAGTCGAATAAATAAGCAAAATTTAACCAACATATGTTACAGACTCTGAACGTAATGCTCTCCCATTCATGCCGGGTCTTTTAATCCACGACATTCTCAGATAACAATTAGCCAGCAACAATGACCGCCACGGTGGTATTCAGGCTCCTCAAGGAGTATCGCGTATCGCGCTGAGAGGGAGTCACGACGGAAGATCGTAGGACGATAGGATCGCGGGGGATCTCTGGCTGATCCAGTTGTGCACCTGACCGCGTTTCTGCATGAGTTATGGACGTGCATCAATCCTTTTACCCTGCTCCCCCTACCCCTCGTCCCATACCCCCTCCAGCGTGAATCTCGTCGGTTGTTCCGCCTCTCTCAGCCACCCTCGTGTTCGACGGTAACGGTAACGGGTTCGGCGAAACGTCCCTCGTCGCTATCTCACTTTTCCCTCCGGGACGAAGATCTGGAACTGCAGTTTGTCGACCCACTTCCGAGATCGTATCTGCCTCCTCCGACACTCTTCCCCTCTGGTTCTCTTGTTTTTCGTCTCCTTCTCTCTCCCTGCCTGTGCCGATGGACTCTTTGCATTGATGGGCAGTTAGGAGTCAGGCTTCGGTTCTCTTATTGCAGGCTCGATTTTTGTTGGATCGTCGAGTCGACGGAGCTACCAAGAATTCGAGAACAGGGATATTCGTAGCTGAGGATTTTATGTAGATCAAACATGATACAGAGATTTTCTGTTCAGTATGAGTTATGACTGGAGTTAGATCGAAGTGTGATTCTTTTCTGAGTCGAGGATGTGGGAATTCATTCGTATAGAATGTCGAATATAATTCGGAATTGTTCGGTGAGCGTTACTTCAGAACATAGGCTACTTATTCGAGCGTCCACAACGTAGATACTTTGGGGTGCATTTAGGATATTACTACTCGATGCAGAGGGGGTTACGTTTGGTGAAAGTTCCTATTGTATTACGTACAATGAGTCACATAAGTATTCGTACCCTCGCAATTCTCGAATTCGTGAAACGTTTATCAATAAGGATACATT